GAAATAAACAATTCATAAGTTTTAAATAGTAAGCTGTTCTGAGTAGCATGATGAAACCTCCTGCCGCCCAGCCCTCTGTATACGTTATCTGCCTGTTAGTCATTGATATCTCCTGCTCCCAACATCCAGCCATTGGCATCATCTTGGCTCAGAGATCCAGGATCACCCAAAGCAGATGATCCTCCTGATGTGTGGTCAGAGGTTCAATAGTCTAACACTACGTCATGTATCTGCATCACTCACCTCACTTCATCTTATCATGCAGGCATTTTATCATCTCACATCATCACAAGAGGCTGAGTACAGTACAATAAGGTATTTTGAGAGAGAGAGTTACCACATTGTGGCAGCTTCATTCACTGGCCCAGCAGCCGAACTGCATAAGCAACCCTATGTCAGGGCTGGGGTGCTCCTGGACAGCCCTTGGGATGAGAAAGCCTAATGGTGCTGCTTGGCTGTAATTCTGAGTTAACCTCGCTCTCTGTGTTTCTGGTTTTCACCTTGTCTAATGGCTCTCTTTGTACCTAATTTTTTCATAGAATCCAGCCCTGCAGACATGATGCGCTTCTCTCTGTCCCTTCAGTATCCAAAACCTTTGTGTCTGTGGTTTCTAGAAGAAGTGTATAGTCAGCTTAATACAGAGGCCAGCTTAGGTGACAAGTAGGTGCATTTTTGAAATAGGCACTAATGCACCAGAAACTATTTGATTATTCCCACCACTCATTGCCTGGAAACAGAAAGTCAGGCCTGTCTTAGAGTAGGCAGACCTTGCACAGACAGGATCATTTCAGGGTTTAACTCATGCCTGCAAACGGTAGATGCTCAGTAAATATTTGTTGAACAAACCTGGAGTGGAGGTTTTTGTGTCCGTGTGATCACTGCTGATGCCACAGGGCAGATTCTCAAGTGAGAATTTGCTATGGTTCAGTGTGGGTAGATGCTCAGTAAATATTTGTTGAACAAACCTGGAGTGGAGGTTTTTGTGTCTGTGTGATCACTGCTGATGCCACAGGGCAGATTCTCAAGTGAGAATTTGCTATGGTTCAGTGTGCCATGGACCCTGCAGGTCCATGGGCCCCTGTGCAATCTTGCACAAAGCCTTCTGATCCCTCAGTTTTTGTACTTGTAAGAAGACAGATGGCTGTGCTTAAGCCTCTCCAGAGGCCCTCCAACTCTCGCAGGCAGCCTTCTTGCCAGGCCATAGCTTTATTGCTAGCATCTGGGGTGGGGTTAGAGTAGCCAGTGTACAGTGTGTCCAAAATAAAAAATGGGCTAAGGCAGTCTCAAGGATAGATTATATGTTAGACCACAAAACAAGTCTTAATAAATTTAAAAAGATTGAAATCTTAAAAAGTTTATTTTCCAGTCACAATGGAATGAAACTAGAAATCAATAGCAAAAGGAAAACTGAAAAATTAAAAAATATGTGGAAACTAAACAACACACTCTTAAACAACCAGTGGGCCAGAAAAGAAATCATAAGGCAAGATACGAGACACAGAAAAACAAAAACACAACCTATTAAAACTTATAGGAGGCAGCAGAAGCAGTGCTAAGAGAGAAATTTAAAGCTATAAATCAAGGGTTTAGATCCCCTTACCAACCAGCTGCCAAAAAAGAAAAGAACCCAAGTCAACAATTGAACTTTACACATTAAGGAACCAAAGAGCAAACAAAACCCAAAGGTAGTGGAAGGAAATAGTAAAGATTAGAGCAGAGATAAATAAAAGAGAATAGAAAAACAATAGAGGAAGTCAATTAAAGCAAAAGTTGGTTCTTCAAAAAGATCAACAAAATTGACAGCCTTTTTCTAGATTGACTGAGGGAAAAAAAGGTTCAAATTACTAAAATCAGAATTGACAGTGGGACATTACTACCAATTCTACAGAAATAGAAAGGATTTTAAGAGAGTATGATGGACAGTTGTATGTCAACAAACTGGATAGCTTAGATGAAAAGGATGAATATCTAGAAACACAGAACTTATCAAAATTGAATCATAACAGAACAGAAAATCTGAATAGACTCATAACTAGTAAGGAGATTGAATCAGTAATCAAAAACCTCCCAACAAAGAAAAGCTTTGGACCAGTTGGCTTCAGTGGTGAATTCTACCAAACACTTAAAGAACTAACATCAATTCTTCTCAAACTCTTTCAAAAAATTGAAGGGGTGGGCATACCTTTTAACTCATTCTATGAGGCAGTATTACCCTGATACCAAAGTCAAAGACACTACAAGAAAGCTACAGACCTATATCCCTTATAAATACTGATGCAAAAATCCTTAATAAAATACTAGCAAACTAAATTCATCAGCAAATTAAGGGAATCATATACCATGACTAAGTAGGACTTATTCCTGGAATGCAAGAATGGTTCAACATACAAAAATCAACCAGCATAATACACCACATTAACAGACTGAAGGGGAAAAAAACCCACATGACCATCGCAATTGATGCAGAAAGAGCATTTGGCAAAATTCAAAACCCCTTCATGATTAAAAAAAACGAAAACAAAAACAAAACTACAGAACAAACTAGGATTAGAAGGAAGCCACCTCAACATAATAAAAATCACACATGAAAAACCCACTGCTAACATCATACTCAATGGTGAAAGACTCAATGCCCACTTTTCCCACTTCTATTCAACATAGTATTGGAAGTTCTAGCCAGAGCAATTAGGCAAGAAAAGAAATAAAAAGCATCCAAATTGGAAAGGAAAAAGTAAAATGTCTGTTTGCAGGTGACATAATCTTATACATAGAAAACCTTAAAGATTCCACAAAAAAGCTGTTGGAACTAATAAACTAATTCAGCAAAGTTGCAGTATACAAAATTAACACGCAAAAATTATTTGTGTTTCTATACACTAACAATGAACAATCTGAAAAGGAAATTAAGGAAATAATTCCATTTACAATAGCATTAAAAAGAATAAAATACAGTTTCCAGTCAAGATGGCAGAATAGATGGTCCCCAGCATCACTCTCTCCCACAAACCAACCAATTTACAACTATTAAAAAGCAACAACAGCCAAGCTAGGGTCGCTAGAGATCAGGGGAAGAGGAGGAGGAGAGACCTACGGAGTTCATGACAGCTGGAGAAGCCACGAAGAGAGAAAGGAAGAACCTCTCTGACTGTTTTGAGCCCTGGCCACTTCCAGTCTGGAACTGGTGAGCGCATGCAGCAGGAGCTGGCAAAAGCTGGACCGGTGCCCTTCCTATGAAGTTGCTTGGAGGCTGCAGAGAAGAAGAGGGCCTTGGTGGCCCCCGGCCAGCAAGACTACTAGTAGGGTTCCCATGGACCCACATGGGAGCAAGGAGCCATAACAACTAAAACAAAAGGAACCACTCAGAGGCCAGTGAGTCATCACAAGGGACCAGCGCACAGCCCATCCCATGGGAAGTATTTGGAGCACGAATGGTAGAGGAGACGGGCCCACAGGGAGAACACTGGGGCACAGCAGGGACAGCTGATCTGCCCCTCAATCAGCGTAGAACCACTCAGAGGAGACTGGCCTGAAATATAGGATAGCATGGAGTGCAGTTTGCTGA